ATCTAGTTACAGGCTGCTGAGCTGAATTCACTTTGGGCCAATGGTGTACCAGCACTGGGGCTCCCCTACTGTGAGCTGAAATTGCTAAGAGCTGAAATCACAGAAGAGCTAAAGTTATTAAGAGCTGAGATCACTGAGTGCTGTGTTAACTAGTGGGGGAGCCCGAAGCTATATTGCTAAGCAGCTGGCAGAGCAATTTGTGGGGATGACTGGAGGAGCAGCGAGTGGTGCGGAGCCTTGCGGGGACGGTTGGAGCGGCCCAAGGAACGGCGAGCGGAGCTGTTTGCGGGGACGGCTGGAGCAACCCACAGGTCGGTGAGCGGAGCGGAGCAGCTCGTAGAGCGCAGCAGTTTGTGGGACGGCAGGAAGTGGACTGGCTCATGGTGAAGGCTACGGTGGAACCCCACGGAGAGATGGCCGGCTGGCCTTGGATCACATAAGGTGCCCCTTAACACCCTGCGTGTCCCCCCTCTTTTACTCTGGGGCTGCACTGACCAGGGACAGAGACTTTGGGGTTTGTTGACTTTTGGAACTTTGGGTGGTTGCTGAACCCAAGAGACTTTGGGGGTGTTGGACTTTGGGGACTCTGGGTGATTTTTGGGTTGCTGGATTCAAGAGCCAAAGGGAAAGTATACAGCCCAATTTGCTGGGGTAGGTTTTTTTGCTCATGGTTTGTGTTATGAATCCTGTTTGTGGTGTTTTTCCAATTTAATGCTGATGTCGTTTACCTCATGTTATTAAACATTTTCTGCTACACTCAGACTCCGTGCTTGCGAGAGGGGAAGTATTGCCTCTTAGAGGCACCCAGGGGGTGGTATGTAATTGTCTCAGGTCACTGGGTGGGGGCTCGAGCCGGTTTTGCATTGCGTTATTGAAACAGAACCCCTAGATACAGAACCCGGCCATTGTTGCTGCCAACTTAGATGGGCAGAAGGGTTACATATAACTCATGCTCCAGTTCTTCTCCCTCCTCACACTGGAGGACAACTGGATTGTGCCCATCCTTGTTGGGGCACAGCCCAAGGGCATCCAGTAAGCATAGCAATAATTTATGCTAGCAAGGAAATTTGTCTGTCTTTGCTCTGAAATTACACTCATTTAACTGTGCTGGGTAACCTTACCTGAATGCCAAAGCCTGCACACTGTGCTTCACTGAATATTTGTGCTGTAAAGTGTGGCAGGTCATGCACAAAGATGAATAAAATGAATTGTACAAATACCAACCTTCATGCTGTTAAAATTGATACATTCCAGTTTTATGAGAGTGACCTAAAATCAAAGAGTTGACTCAGAATTACTGCAGTGGAGGAACTGGAGAAAATGTTAAGACCTTTGTGGTAATGATCAACAATCCTGAATTACTGTCCAAGACATGAGAGCTCCTTGCCAGGATACATAGAAAGTGTGAGGTCAGAGGATGAGTGAGAGCTCAGTGAGAAAGAAGAATATTGAAATGGTAGCAATAAAGAAGTCTTTATGGTCAGGAATAGAAATGGAGGGTGTGTAGAAACAGATGGATACTACATGCTTAGGTCTCTGAAGAGCCAGACCTGTAATGATTTCGCTGCTGATTATCAATAGTGTATGTGTCTTGAAATCTAAAGCCTGGGACAGATCCTGAAGAGACATTCATGTCCATATAAAACCCTGACAGAGCCAAAACACGGTTTCTACCACAGCAACAGGCCAGCCAGCAAAGACGTCCTGAAGGAAGTATTTGCTTCTCCTGCACAGCAGGGTAGCCCTCATAACATTACATGGAAGGCTAGCAGAAGGGTTGGATGGGTTTGCATTGTGCAAAAAGCAAATCCAGAAGAGACAGGCTCCCTCCTCCCTCACCCCTTTGAAGGACAGGAGGGCACTGCCGATGCAGCAGTCAGCTATGGGAAAGGTCTGAAGAATTCTGAGGCTAGCATTGTAGTGGTGGAATCTTTTCCTCTGTCCTGCTACGGTTCAAAGCATTTCCATTTTATACTCTGGCTTTTCTCCATTACCAGAGAGCCTCTCTAAGTCACAGGTGGTGGCCGTAGCAAGAGTGAGCCTCATCTGAGAGAAATAAATCAGGCAGTAATTATTTATAGAGATAGGGCAACCGAATATTAATTGGAATCAATGGCAATTACCATGCTAGGAAAAAACAAATTAAGATTAAATCAATTAAAGGTAATGCCTTGACGGAAGGACAATGATATTTAAATTAAATTGTTCTAAAGGGTACTTCACAGACACAAATTGTTATTTCCGTTAAAATATTTTAAACATTTTAACATTGAAAATGAAATTGAATTCTTTTTGAAAGGTAAAGAGCAAAAGTGGTATTGGCAGCTTTTTTTTATTCCCTCGGCCAGGTCTGGAATTGCATAAGTATCATTTTACTTAGCCTGCTGTGCACATTTATTTTATACTTTCAAAGTACTGTATATGGTCTGCTTGTGAGAGAGGCTTAAATGGCAAAAGGCATTCACGTCTTTTAAAAATTTACCTTCAAGGTCTTTTCTTGAATTTTTGTTGTTTTTTCCCCCCACAATAAAAGATTGAGATCAAATCATCTCATCAAAGTGTCAGTTACAAACCCCTTCAAATTAATGTTTCTTTGCTGATCAGTAGGAGATGTAAGATGTTTACCCCATGGTTTTTATATTTCATCCTGTTCACATACTTAAGGCAACAGTCTCTGAAGTTACATACAGTTGGCATTCTTGAGTTTCTAAGCCTGGATTAATAGTAACAATGCTCAGATGTTGCCCAAAAAATAAGAGTACTGTCCATCCATCATCTCCTTCTCCTCCTCCTCCTTTATTATCATCATCCCTTAAAATAAGCAAGCCACTTTCTACGTTTTATATAAGGCTATATATTATTCACTGTATGTGAAATACTCATCCTATCGAGATCAAGTGTGACTTGCTGTTGTCTGGGTGTTGATATATGGAAAGAATATAATAGGAGACTTTCAAAGGCATGTGTTAACTCTTCCCATCCCATACTTCCTACCCTACACAGATATGTAACACTGCCTGATGTGACATAGTATATACAGAAGATCTGCATCCTTCACATAGTAAAAACTCCTCATTTACTTCATTTAGATGTTTTATTGAGTGAAGACTGAAGGATCAAGCCCAATACCAGTATGTCTAAAAGAATTGTTTCCCAACTGGCAATGGTTTTGCACTGTAATTGATATGCTAGATTTCTCTTTTCTTAATGATGAGCATTTGTCCTCTTCCCCATTGGGTACCCTTGTGCCAGACTCGATTCAGTTATGCGAAGTTTAAGGGCTTGTTTATAGTGGTACAGCTTTTTGCTGACTATTGTGCTGGTAATGTGAATACATTGTTCAGAACAATTCCAGATAAAACACTCGAGTGTGAACTGAGACAGTGCTAGGGGTTGGCACGGGCTGAAATGCCAGCATAGGGAAAGCCTAACTCACAGCAAAGCTTGGTTTGATTATGAGACAGCCTCCAGCATGAACTGAGGTGAGTACAGCTGTTTGGAAGGCAGCTCACACTACCCAGGGTTTAGCCAGATATAGTGTTATAGTTGCTTGAAAAGGCTGGGAACCCCTCTCCTAAGGCATATCAAGTGCATCTTAATTGGACTTGTTCTGCAGAGTACATCAATCTTCAGCAAAGTAGTCAGAGTAATAATTTCAAAGAAAAGCTATAATTACAGATACCCTTTATCAGAAGCTTTGCATGTTCTCTGAAGGATGTAGGTTTTGAATGTGTCAGGCCATCTATTTGGGGGATCCTGATAGCTTAAGCTGCTCCATGGCTTAAATTGCTTCAAGTTATTAGTTATATTTCACAAATGTCAGTGCTGCTCCGTAGAAACTTGATGTGGCCTTACCCAGACAGTGCTTCATTACTGACATTTCTTTCCCTAGCTAGTGCCTTTTCCTTGGAACCCATTGTCTTGAGTTGTCTGTCTTTGTCTCTGGCTTTTAAACCCCAGAGAGCTGTCAACTAAGTATCAAACTGGGGCCGAGGTAATGCAGGTCACTGATGTTTTAACTGACACTTTGCTTTGCATAATGTGCAGAAAGCATGGGGGCTGAGCTTCAAGGTCAACCTCAAAATATGGACACTTCTTCTTAATATTATGTTTGTATTAATTGTGCATACTCTCCATAGTGATGCCCAGTAATTTTTGGCTATATTTAGGAAAGATTTCCACCACCCCCCACCCAGAAAAGGGGGGTTGTTTTTTCTCCCTTCACAGGAGGTAAAAAAGGCACTTGTTTGCTTTTACTTTACTTTCCTGCAAAGTTTCCATCTAACTCTGCCAACATGTGGAGAAATTAGCTCTGAAGGCAGTTCCTCACTTTATTCATGAAGTAGAGCTGCCATGAATACAATACTCCTACTTTTGCTGTTCTTTTAGGTGATAATCTAGAGAAGGTTCGTGTAAACTGTCTAGACCTCTAGAAATAACGCAGCATAATATCTGAAGATAAGGCCAGATCCTCAGCTGCTGTAAATTGGCATAGCTCCATTGAGTTCAACAGAGTTATGCTGATTTGTCCAGCTGAGGGTCAGGTCCTTAAGACTTGTTCTAAGATAACATGGTTAAAAAGCTTTCATTAATATGTCTCCATGGACTTCAGTTGAGTTACTCCCGTTTTAAGACTGATTTAAATGAGAACACAATATGACCCACAGTGTACCTGAATATCTTGATGACATTTCTTTTGACAAGGACAGCCAAAGAATTTATCAAACCAGATTTGGAACTTGTCTATCTCATTATCTGAGTGAGCATCAGGTAGGAGAAGACATCCCCGTTCCAACTTAAGCTGTTGCGGAACTCTTGTTGCAACAAGTATTCAAGCTTTCCCAGCACCTGATGATTTAAATGGTTTTTGAGTTTGCTATGTACTAGAAAAGTGGTGTTTTGCTGCCTTTACAAACCTCTAGAGAAACATTCTGTGTAGCTCTAATTCAAACTAGACCAGCTGGGCAGATAAATCATTATGTAAAAATCCATCATTGCCATCAGAATATTTTAAGGAAATGAGCAAAACTAGGTATGCTTCCCTTCAAGAGTTTCCCCCCAAAATGCTGAATTTACTATAATTAGTTTTGTTCTCTACAGAAACCTTCATTTAGTGGCAACGCCATTAAACAAGTGAAATACAAATTACAAGTGACATTTATATGATCATAATCACTCCTTCCTGGCTGCCAGGAATATTTTCTCATAGAGAACCTGCATTTCTGCAGATGGTATGAAAAAAAATGAGGCCTGCAGAACACACCATTATTCCTGTGAGGCCGTCAGTTCATTAGTCGAAGCAGCCAAGTCTTGACGAGCCGCAACTGATCAGCAAATGGGAAATGAGCAGGAGTATAAATTCCCAGCAAACTGAATCATTAACATTTGCTGCCTGCATCCTGGAAACCCGGTAAATCAAAAGTGTCATGATGTATCAAGACAAAATATCATTACTAATTGGGATTAATTTGCTGCCGTGGGATTGCCGACCTTTGCTGAAAGAAAATAAAACTGCTCATTAACTTTTCTTACTTATTTTTTATTATTATTATTTATTTAGGATAGACTAAGGTGCCACTATACCATATCTTTCACTCAGTTCCATTCTTGTTATAGTTTGATGCTTTGAATGACAAATGTAATATTTTCTGCTTGGACCAGATATTTGTGTTCAGAGAAAGTAACACACATCCACACTATGTTAGTTCTGATTGAGAAGTGTGAAAAACATTATTAGAAAAATAATTAAGGTGGAATTTTGTCCTATTTGAAGGAAAATAGGTAAAAATAAGACATTTGGGATTTACTTTCCTATTTCTTTTAATTGTTAACATGAGGCATGGGACTATTGTGGGAACACCATCTCTGTCTGGCACTCATTGGCATTCCCCAATGCTTGATAATTCTTAGCACTTACAGAGCATCTTTTCATCTTCAAAGGACTTTGCAATTGTTATCCAGTTGATCCTCAAAACAGTCTTCTGAGAAAATGCTACTGAGAATATGAGCTACAGAGCCATTTATGGAGGATCAGGCCTATTATAATTTTTCATCAGTGGCCGCAAGGAGCCCTGAAAGAGAATTCATCGATAAAGTGAAAGCCATCAACCCCTATAAATGTGTAACAGGGCAGTTTGGGTGGAGCGGGCCTACTGTCAAACACATGGCACCTACCCACCTGTAAGCTGCTGGTGAGTGTGTGTTACAGATCCCTCTTCATGCCGATCCACAGAGCATACGAGTTGTTACAGCTCCCAGCTATAAAATCTTGGCTATTTAGTTCATGCTGTAGCACCTAATATTTTTAGCTCTGGGGGGTCCCCAGTTCAGTCTCTGTTGCATCGGCCAATGTGGATATCATCACATGCCTATGTCCTGAACCTCATTCATACACTAGTACAAAGTGGAGGTGTGATGGGGTATTCACCCCAGCCCAGCCCCAAAAGGATTAAGGAAGCTGAGAACGGGCCAGTTAGTGAGATAGGCTACACATGAGGGGTGTACACTGGAGAAGCAACCCCAATGAGAAGATGGAGCTCAGCTAAGCAGCTGTGGGCTGAGCTAGTATAAAGCCAGGAAACTGGCAATAGAAATGACTACAGTGAGGAAGTCTGTAGCCACCCTCTGTACATTAAAGAGGGAAGCCTGGGAAAGAGTAGGACTCTGGGAGCCTGGCCCTGAGGAAAGGGTGTACCCAGAAGAGAGAAGGGTGAAGATGAGAGCCTGTGGGAGGTGGGTAGGAAGCAGCCCAAGGAAGAGCAGCAAGGGTAGGGACTGAGCAGTCCTTGCAGGGGTGCTGCAACAGTGTATATAGTGGGGGTGCTGAGAGCCTTGAACCAAACTGTAAACCCAGTATCTGATGGAAACCACTTAAAGCCAGGGCATGCCGCCACACCCCCAATGCCCTTATTTCCAGCACCTATGAGACCTTTGCTGTGTGTTGTAGGGTCTCTGGACTGGAACTCAGAGTAGTGGGTAGGCCCAGATTCCCCTACCAGTCACTGACTGAGTGGCATTGCCTGGACAATGGGGCCAGTGAGAGACTGTACCTCAGAAGGGGAAGCCACATAGTAACCTGGCCAGAGGAGGCGTTCTGAGGAGGAAGCTGCAGCTCCTGGTGCAAGAGAGGGGCCACAGAGTGAGAGGTATGACAATGGGCTGAGAGATGGCAAGGGGAGGTGTCAGACCTGGAAGACAGCTAATCCCCAGAACAGCTAGGATCAAGCGCCACCTGCAGTGAGTATCCCATGATAGGCGGTTCCATTCTGACTGGTCAGCATTTTAAATCCAGTTGCACTGGTGTAAATGCCTACACAATGTCCAGGGCGCAATTAATAGATCAGGAATGAAGATTAGGCCAAATAGTTGAATCCTGAAATTGAGTAGGCTTGTTCTTTCCTCAGAAGGCCTGCCACAGCCTTGGGTTGAAGTGAGGGAATGTTAGGCAGGGTTGTGGTAAAAAATATAGGCTTCTCTATATGAGAGGAAGATCTCTGGAGAGAGGTCCTTATCCAATTTAAGGCAAATATATAGGTGGTTCCTACTCATCCATATTGATCAGGGAGAAAAAAGGAGGGAAAGAGAAAAGAGGCGGTCAGGAAGGAGAAAATAATAGTGGCAAGGAACAGACAGCACTGTTGGGGATGGAGATGTCTCCTGACACCCCCCCATATCATCACCTAGCAACACCCAATTGCCCAATTCACCCCTTTACTTCTAACACCAGCTCCTGACCACCCATAACAATATGAAAAATGGATTAAAGGAGAGTACACTACTCAAACTCCTCCCCTCCGCTCCCCTTCCCCCCGCCCACACCTCCCAGCCAGCTGTGAACAGGCAACATTTCACATGGAACCCATTTCCCACATAATTCACGAGAGGGTGCCTTCCTTTATTTATTGTGAGGCCTGTGAGATTTTAAAAGGCCCTGCCAAAACACGTCTCAGTGTTCAAATAGGAACAAGAAGAGGTAAATGATACCTGAAAAATAACCCATGACATTACTGAGACAATAATATACAATTAGTTTAAAAAGTTGACAAAATATTCCTCTTTCTTTCCATAGTATTGAGCATATTAAAAGTTTTTCAGTGCCTGTTTCAACATGTGCATGAGTAACCATGTGCTTGAATCCTTGCCCCACTCTGAGCTGCTCCCCAGTTCTGCCTTAATGCATCCCCAAAGCCCTCTACAAACAGTAGTTAAACATATATTTAGTCTGCCAGGTTTATGAATGTCCCTCATTACTTTCTCATGTGCACCCCAGCCCCTCATGATTCCTTGGCTTTCCTACTTATACACAAACTAAATCATAGTTTCTCCCATAAATACAGTACAACATGAAATTATTATCAGCGCTCCATGATTGTATTGAAAATGGGGAATGGTAGAACTGTAACACCTTCTTCTAATGATTTAAGTTTCTAATCTTGTGACCCTCCCTGCGTGCTGTCTCATAAACTGTAATCATATACTAGAGTTCACCACATATTTTGTCCAGAGCTTATTACTCTGTGTTGGGTTTCATAATGTGTGTGTGGGGGGTCATTTTTATCTGCTATTAACAAAACCATTATTTTTCTGATCAAGCCAATGAGGGAGAAGATGTATTGTGTGTGTCTGCTCAGTCTCCTCACAATAGGCTATTCTACCTCCTGGAATCTTCCATCACTGTGAGATAAGGTAACGGTTATAGTAACATTGACAGTGCATATTTGGGGTATTCAAAGTGACACTAGAAAGGACAATGGTCTATAAATAATTAAGAAAAAGTCATTTGTGCTCAGAGATAAGCTCTCGTTTCAACTTCAAGCATGTTGCAGCCAAAATTGATAGTCCAAGGTCAACTTGAGTGTTGCACATAGCTCCATTTGAAATAATGTTGTCCTTTTCAGTTATAGGGGCCAGATTCAGCCTTGGTGTAAAGCTGGTACTGAAGTCAATTGGAGGTTTCTTCATGTCCCTGCCAGCAAGTAGGGGATCTTGGGGGACAACTATTGCACTGGTGGGGTGCAAAATAAACTTTATTGAGAAAATGCAAAAACAGGGAAAATTCAATAGTGAGGGGTATGAGGTTTGTTAAGGTAGACAATTGGGGAGGGGGTTATTTTAGTAAATAGGATAGGGGGTTTCAATAGTGGGGTACAATACAGTGGGGTACAATATAGTTGGTAACCAATTAACACTGAAGTATAAATGTAACAGGTAGCTAACAATTTCTATGTAAAGAGTGTGTCACAGCAGCATATAACCAACTAACAGTTGGGTAAAATGTGTTAAATAACCAACAACTTTAGGTAAAAAATGTGTCACAGTGGTGTAAATGTAAAATGTGAGGTGTGTTAGAGAGAAAAGGGGTAACCAATGGGGTTTTATGCTAAACTTCAGTAATACAATTGAGGTTTGGCAGCAGTGGGAACGGGGTGAGCATGTGGGGGAAGGGATTAAAAGAGAGAGAGAGAGAGAAAGAAAGTGGTAGAGAAGTGAGGTTGGGGGATGGGGGAAGAGGAGCCCGTGGTGGAGCAGAGGCCAAAGGCAGAGGGAAATTTAAACTCAGGGAGACACAGAGAGCAGACAGGCTGCAAGTTTAAACAGCAGAGAGACAATTATACAGAACACAGTAAAATCTTATCTATGATTTAACTTAACCAAGACTACACAAATTAGCAAGTAACAAAACTCAATGCAACAATTTTTTAAGCCTAACTTACAGAGTACAATGCAAGCAATTTCCTAAACCTAATTTAACCACAGCTATGCAAAATGAAATTACAATTTATCTAGACTAAAAGCTAAATCTAACCTAATAGGTGCACCTTATACTAGGGGTAGTTCCAGAGGGCAGACTGGTGTGTGCCCAGGATACAGCTCCAAGGGGGGCTGGGGGATTAACTAGTGGTGGCTGCAGCAGTGGGATGGCTGCAAGCTGGCAGCCCAGGATAAAGGCCAGGGAGGCGCCGGGGTATTTCTTGCAGAGACAG